GAATACTATTCAGCAATAAAAAGAAACGAACTATTCATATACGCATGTGTTTGGGGCCCAACAACCACCCCTGTACTTGACAATTCATGAGAAGACTTTTGTGACATTATGTAGTTGTACTCCTCCTGAGATTTATTACAGCACTATAGTATAGGTGGAGTCTGGAAGAATCCATGCATAGGCTTCCTTATCGCTCTCTCCCATGGAAGAGTTGATGGATTGGAAGACTTGATGTTGTTAAGATGTCATTTCTCAAATTAATCTATAGATTCAACACAACTTAATTAAAATTCCAGCAGACTTTTTATGTAGAAGTCAATAAGTTGCTCCTCAAAATTATGTAGAAATGTAGATCTAGAATAATCAAGACAGACTTGGAGAACAGAGTTGAAGAATGTAACTACCTGACTTTAAGACTTATTATCAAAAAAAAAAAATCATTAAGCTATATTGATTAAGACAGTATGTTACTGGCATAAAGATAGACAAATAGAGAATCTAGAAACCGACTAATGTAAATACAAGTACAGTGAGGTGATTTTTTTCAAAAGTGCCAAAGCACGTTTTCAATTCTAGAAAGAAAGTCTTAATTAAATAGTGCTGGAACAAGTGGATATCTGTTTGGAAAAAGTGAGCTTTGACCGTATGTTGCACTATAAATAAAAACATTAACTTGATGTGGATTATAGCCCTAACTATGAAAAATTTAAAAAATAGGATAATATCTTCATGACCCTGGATTCAGTCACCATAAAAGAAAAACTTGATAAACTGGACTTAATAAAAATGAAAAAATTCTCATCAAAAGACACCATTAAGAATATCAAAAGGCAAGCTACAGATTAGGAGAAAATATTTGTACTACAAGTATCTGAAAAAAGGCTTGCATCCAAAATATATAAAGAATTTGTACAAATCAATGATGCTACAGCAAACCCAGCTGTTGAAAATGGGAAAAATTGTTACGTAGGCACGTAACAAGAGGATTTATTGGAATGGTCAATAAACACATGAAGAGGTGTACAACATCAGTACTCATTAGGGAAGTGGGTATTAAGACCACAGTGAGATACCACAGCATACTCAGCACAATATCTAGGGTTGAAAAGATTGACAAGACCAAGTTTTGGTGAGATGTGAAACCACTGGAACACTCATACACTATGGGTGAGACTATAAAAGCCTGTATGACATATTGTCTCTCAATTGCCCTGACTCTAGAGCAGGATTGAGCACAGTGGTGCACAAATTCAGATGCCTGAGAATTCATGGCACTCTTTGTGGAACATGAGTTATATATAAGTGTGCTAAGCAGAACTGTTGGTTGCAAATGACCCAACTCGGTCCTACTTAAACCAAAAAAGACAAATACATTGGTTCAGGTGGGTGAGGGTCATGGGTGGGCTAGGGTCAGGCTCACTTACAGCCAAGTACGTAAACTGTGTCTATATTGGCCTTTCTACTCTGCTCTCCTCTGGCATGGCTTAGTCTTCAGGCAGATCTTGGGCACAGTGGCCACATGCAGCTTCAGGATTATAACCTATCAATGTTGCAACCCCAGTTACTAGACCTTACTCCCAGAATTGTCTTCAATTGGTCCACCCCTAAGCAATCATCAGAACCACTGTGAGGCCTAGGACAGGTACCCTTGGACTGAAAGTAAGGGTGTGGTGGTTCCTCTCCCAAAAAGAGAGTACTGTGACAAAAAGGACGGGATGGATGCTAGTCTTGCAAAATAGCATATTTTCTCTACATTGTACTTAGTTAATATTAATTCCTTTGTCTATAGTAACTCATGTCCCAGGTCCTTGCTAGACCCTGGGGATATAAAGGTTAATTGTGAATAGAGCAGATTTGTGGGCTGGCTTTGAAAACTCCCTGTGATTATGTGGCTTCATCGACCTTTTTTTCATTGGCTGCTCCCAGTACTTGACTTTCTGGTGGTGTCCTTCCTTGTTGTTGATTTCTTCCCTCAGAGTGCTCTACATCTAGAATATGCCATGCCTTTATACCTCTGCATGTTTCAGTTCTATTCCTCTTTCAAGGCCTAGCTCAAATACCCTATCTCTCAGAAGCCCTCTCTGAGATTCTTTGATCCACATTAGTTTTTCTTTGCTTTTAGCTGTTACTCTATCTGTAGCTTATCTTAGCTCGAAGTTCCTTCAGTTCTGATTATCCTTGTAGCACCTGCCAGAATGCTGGGCACTGTGTAGTAGACTTAATAAATAATGGACAGTTATTGTTGCACCCTTGATTTTAATTATCCTTTTAGTTGTCTAGCAGTACTAGACATTTGTAGAGCTGGCCTTTACTTAAGAAAATTATATTTATATACATGCAAATTAGTAGTAACTCACTGTTCCCCAGTCACTACTTCATGAGGCTTCATGATCTGTTACGCGATATGCTCATGTTTCTTACACAAATGCAGTCAGAGTAGTTTTGGTGATGTGGCAGTCATGGCTGTATATAAGCCTTTTCATTAAATATCCATTCGGACTACAAGCAAAAATACCCACTTTTTTTTTCCAATTCAGTGACGGTTTATTGACACACATCCAGTAGAGCAGTGATTCTTAAATTTCAGTGTGCATCAGAATCACCTAGAGGGGGCTGGCCCATGGCTCACTCGGGAGAGTGTGGTGCTGATAACACTAAGGCCACGGGTTCGGATCCCATATAGGGATGGCCAGTTGGCTCACTGGGTGAGCGTGGTGTTGACAACACCAAGTCAAGGGTTAAGGTCCCCTTACCGGTCATCTTTAAAAAAAAAAAAAAAAAAGAATCACCTAGAGGGCTCTTTAAAACAGATTACTAGGCCCCACCCCAAGAGTTTCTGATTGAGTAGGTCTGGGGTGGACTGAATAATTTGCATTTCTAACTAGTACTCACGTGATGCTAATGATACTGGTCAGGGAACAATAATTTGAGGACCAATTTATTTATGTATTTAACCCTCATTGTGCATCAGAATCACCTGAGGAAGCCCCCCCCCCCCCGCCCCCTTCCTTTTCAGAACTGGCCTTTGTCCAGTTAACTAAAAGTGTTTGGAAGCTGTGATAAAGCATGGTGTTAGAAGGAATTTATGAGCATTTCTAACAGATCAACTCCATAAGTATAGACCAAATCTCTTTACTCCACATCTCCAAGGCACCTGTGTGATTAATGTAAATGGTGGATAGATTGGCCAGCTATGTGGTTTGGTGGTTTTAGTTCACAAACTCTCTATTTCTTCAATAACTCACTCTTTGTTCTTGGCCAATTCCCATAAGTGCCTCTTGCAGATTGTTTATTAGTTGTAAGGGAGAAATAGTAATGATACAATGGAAAAATTGTCTGTCACTTTGGGTGGTCAAAATAAACATCACCAATGAGAGGAAGATGGGCATCATGTTATTCTAGATATCACACTTTAAAAGGACGAACATCACTTATGTAGAGATCTGACTGGTCATACTTAACTGGAATCTAATCATAAGGAAACATCAGACAAATTCAAAATGAAAAGTATTCTATTTTTTTAAGAGCCTGTATTCTTCTTAAATATCAATGTCATAAAAGATAAAGATTGAGAAACTGTTCCAAATTAAAGCAAATTAAAGAGACATGATAGTTAAATGCAGTATATGATCCTGGGCTGGGTCCTGTACTGAAGGGGAAAAAGGGTATAAAGGACAGTGTTGGGTCAAATGACAAATTGGAATATGGATAGTAGATTAGACAAAAAGTATTGTATCTGTTTTTAATTTCCTGAGTTTGATAACCGTACCGTGGTTATATAAGATGATCTCCGTAGGAAACACACTCTGAAATATTTAGGGGTAAAATTAGATGATGGGTGCAACTTTTAAATGAGTCAGAAAGCATATATGTAAGAGAGAGCAAGTGATAGAGCAAATGTGGCAAGGATAAGCTTTTTTGAAAGTCTGAAATTATTCCCAAATAAAAGGTTTTTTTAAAAAAAAACCTCTGCTCTTCATTTCAGGGTAGTTGTAAGGATTTTACAAATCTGCGTAAAAATGTTTTGCTTTCAAGACATTTTTTTTTTAAACCTTTTATTTGGGAATAATTTCTGGTGGCTCATATGCTATGCAGTCTAGGCAGCCTCCACATCTCATTCTGTCGGTATTCTCAGCTAGGCTGTTCACTCCAGAAAGCCTGCAGGAGGTCAGCAACTCCTTAATACCCAGCTTCCAATAGGTCAGCTTCTTGAGTTTCTTGTGTGGTGGGTGCTTCAGACATACTGAAGTATAAAACTCATCATTCCACCTAAAACTTATTCTATCATAGCAAATTTTAGTTCAGTTTTAACTGGCTAAACTAATGTATGACTCGTCTGAACATAGTCTATTATTATATATTGTAGAGTATGTATAAAGCAAATGTACTTCACAGGGCCTGGTTTTCCAAAGCCTTGCAGTTTCAAATATTGACCTTGCAAAGGACAGGAAGTTTTCCCCAGACTATATAGTCTCTCCTAAGATACTTGCAAAGGACAGGAAATTTTCCCCAGGCTATTGTCTCTGTTGTAAGATAAAGAATTGTAACACAGCAAGGTTGCTGGCTCAAAGACAGACAGGTTACTGATTGATATGTCAAGATACTGGGAAATTGCTGTAAGAAGAGAATGTTTGCTAAAATCAAGCTTTTGTTAGTGGATCAACTTAATTGAATGTTACCAGCTTCTATTGTTAAACTTGTTAAATGGTACTTAGCAAAAATCCCACCTGTGTTCTCTTCTTCTAACTTCCTGGTCTGAAGAATAAATGCAGGAAGAGAACCCCAATTCGTGGATAATTTCCCAAATGGAAGGAATACCTCTATCTTGAGGGTTCTGGGAGATTAATCCCTTTCCGGGGCTTCTCACTGCTCAGAAGAGATGGGCTTTGAGTAATCTTTGGCAGCTCTGTCACCCAAGGGAAAAGGGTGACAAATCCATGGGAGGCAAAGCAATAATATATTGTACCCTTAGTTTTGAAAAGTATATTTTTTTCTTTCAGCCCAAAATGGAGTTAATCCTGACTGGGAGAAGAAAGTAATTGAATATTTTAAGGAAAAGCTGAAGGAAAATAATGCTCCTAAATGGGTAAGCTTATTGCTATTTTGGAGGGAGAGGGTTGGGCAGACAACAGTTTCTCTCAGGAAAGTATAACCCACATGTAATTTTAAAATATATAAATTAATGTGTGCTTTTGCTTTAAGTACATTTGTATTAATGAGATTTTGGTCTCTTGCAACTTAAGTTCAAGCAATTAAATGATTCTTTGTATATTGTGCCTCTAGGTGGCAGTAACTGACTGTGTTACTCCAAAGACAAAAAAATCTGAACTTGCAGAAGCTTCAACTACCTTTGTTTTATTACCTTCATTTTAAAGGAATTGGCGTGTACTAGTTTAACAGAAGAGCTCAACAAAGTAAATGCCATTCTGCTAATTGAAAAGTGTTCTGCAGGAAAAGCATCCTTTTAGATTATGGACAAATAAAATGTTATCATACAAACTTGTATGAACTCAGGAATACTTTTGTCCGGTGATTATTTTTCCACTAAGATAATTTGGCTACCTTAGGGGGTTGATTTTGTGTGTGTGTGTGACAATTTGAGTCTGGATATATAATCTATGTACATATGCTTTATGTTTCACAGACAGGTGATTTGTTGACTAACTTGATTGTTTGCTTTCTTTTAAGGTACCATCATTGAATGAAGTTCCCCTTCATTATTTGAAACCTAACAGTTTTGTGAAATTCCGTTGCATGATTCAGGATATGTTTGACCCTGAGTTTTACATGGGAGTTTATGAAACAGTTAATCAAAACACAAAAGCACGTGTATGTATTGCTTTTTTTGTGAAACTTTCTGCTTGTAATTTATGGTATTTTATCCTTGTGTTGTTTATGATAGCTTTGATCCTGATATATTGATATAATACTGTTATCCTTTGTTTTGGGTCATAGATTCTTCATTTTGGAAAATATAGAGACGTAGCAGAGTGTGGGGTATGTACTTTTAAGATATATAAAATATTTTTCATAAGAATATTTTCCTAAACTGGGAATTTATTATTCCTTTGGCTGATCTTAAATTTATTTAAATCAATTTATCTTGTGTGTAAATAAGTTCTAAGAAATCATGTGACATATTCTTTCTTATTTGGCTTTATTTAAGAGTTTTTCTGGGCTGGCCAGTTAGCTTGGTTGTTTAGAGCGCAGTATTATAGTACCAAGGTCAAGAGTTCGAATCTCCTTACTGGGCAGCTGCCCAAAAAGATTTTCTGATGTGATTTTTTTTTAATCTTCTAAAAATCTCTTAGAAGGTGGAATATTATATTATTTTTTTTTTTTTTTTTTTTTTTTTTGGTGGCTGGCCAGTAAGGGGATCCAAACCCATGACCTTGGTGTATTACCAGCACCACGCTCTTCCAAATGAGCTAACCAGCCAGCTCAGAAGGTAGAATATTATAAGTGACAAAATTAATTCCTTTCTATTCTCAATATCTATATACTTGGTTTAAAAAATTACAAGTTATGATCAATTCTTTTAAAATGAAAGTGGAAGATTAACTTAGGGCTTAGCATTTGCTTAATTAAATATAATTAAATCATGCCCTCTTTTTCTGGAGGAAAAAATATTTTTAATAAACTTAAACTTTTATTGACCAAAAGAAGTAGTGGAAACTCTTACATGTCAATAATGGGAGACAAGAAGAAAGAACATTGGATATCTAATGATAGTTGTCAAAGGGATAGTCTTGAGGTGGAAACTTACTAGAAAAGCAGTTTAGAGGAACCATAGTATATCTGTATTTTATTTGTTTTGCATTGCTTTTCTGATAATAGGGGAGCAACATGCAGAATTACATTGAATTTCATTCTGACACTTGTTCAACATGCCTGGTGCTATGGCTGGGGGAGGTTTAAAATTAATTTCTAGTTTAATAGTAGAAAAGAGTATCTGCATGTCAAAATATATTTGTTAACCAAAACTGTCTCCCATAGCAGGATCAGTAAGGCATGTGCTGTGGTTACACACAACCCTGGTATCCCAGGGACTGAACATAAAGTATAATCCCAGTTAGGTCTGATCCACTGTAGGTGGGCAGCTTTCCAGGGAAACTGACCCACATGTGGCAGGAACCTTCCTCACTTCCACTCAGCACATTGGTCAGTCTAATTCCATGGTCTTGGCCCTTTAAGAGGCACTGGGAAATTTGGGGGAGCAGTTGGCCAGTCACAAGCGGTGAGCATTTTTTCCTCAAATATTCTATTCAGGCTAGAAGCTTCCAAGTTTTTTTACATCTCATGCTGACCTTTCACCCATCCTATTTGCAATGAAAAGTATATTTTGTCATTTGTGTAAATTGATACAATAAATTTGTATAGCAGGTTACACTCACACATTTAATATTTGTACAGTTGTAATATAATAGTGCATCTCATTTGATATCTGATAGTTTGTAGTAAGCTATATCAAGAAAAGACCAATGCATAGTAACCAAAAAGATGATGGGTATTTTCTCTTATGTATACCATGAATAGATAACAGAGAAAAAAAAATGTCTCCCATAATTTGCTCTGCTTTTTAATGTGTTTCTATTGAAACACAGACCCTAATTTCCAACTGACGGAAAGAAAAAAAGTGTCACAGATGGGGATTGACCAGGGGAAAAAAGTATCACAGGTGCGGATTGACCAGTCAGGTGTTTAGGCAGGGACATGGTAGAAAGATGGGACCTCAGTGGAGTTACCCACATCCTGGGTCTAGTGCTCTCCTTGGAAGATCCAGACTCTTGGTTTTGTCAGGTTACCTAGGGCTTTTTACATTCTGGGAGTCTTAACTCTTGCTTACCCAAGCGCCACCAAGAGATTGATTTATAGATCCTAGTACCAGCCTATTAGTTCACAATAGAAGTTGATTTCTGATGGAATAAAGTATTCTAGTTCAGTGGGCAGACCTGGACAGAATATCCCTAATTTAGAAGGTTATCACAAAGATTTTTGAAACAAAAATGTAACTTCTCACAATTATTTAGAGTAATTAATTTATTGGAAAGATTAGGTTAATCTTATGAGTGATGGACTTCAGGTCTGTCAATGTTTTCTCTCTTCTAGAGTGTTTTCATAAGATCAATATTTTGCCAAGTCTAATGGATCAACTTGATAAATGCTTACTGTATTCCTTGTTTAAGGAGCCCCAACACATTAGGCTAATATACTAATACACAATTTTTTCTAGTACACATTTTAGCTCAGTAATCTCAGCATTTGGAAATACACCAGTAAAATAGGTGAGAGACTCCATCTGTGACACTATCAGAGGCTAAGAGAGAGTTTGTACATATGTTGCTGCAGAGTCATAAGTGAAAGCCCCATTTCAGGAAAAGGGAACCTTGAACCTGGAAAGAAAGAAGCAAGCAAAAAACCCAGCTTGTATGTATTATCTCAGGCTCAAACTCGATATCTCTGAGATCCTTTTTTCCTCTTATGATTTCCTAAGTATATTTGAAATAGAGAATATGCCTTTCTTAGGGAAGTAATATCTGACTTTTAAATCTCATCTCAGAGCTATCTAGTAATGAACATTTCATTAAATTCATATCTTATAGATTGAGTCTGATGGTTTTTTATGAAGGAGACAGTGGGCTTACCCATGTGCCTTGTCTTTGAAAGAATTAAAAAGGATTTAATTTTGTAGCCTGGGGTACTGTGAATTATGGATTTGAGGGAGGTGGTGTGTGTTTGTTTGTTTTGTTTTGTTTCGGATTGCTGGTATGGGAATCTAAGCCCTTGACCTTGGTGTTACAAAGCTGCCCTCTAACCAACTGAGCTAACCGGCAAGCCCTGGAGGTAGTGTTTTGATTACTGAGTTTGAAATGATTTTATCTCAGTTTTCTTTTTAAGATCATAGTTTGGAATTAGTTGCTTGTTAATTAAATTTTTAATGTAAATGTTTACTGTGGTATTATAAGTAATGTGAAAATGTGATTGTTAATTTTTTTTAAATTTCTTTTTCTTAATAAATTTCTAAAAATATTTTTTGTATACATTACAGCCTCAACAAGAACTTGATTTAAACTCTCCACGAACTACCACTTTGGAAAGACAGACTTTCTATTGTGTTCCAGTGCCTGGGGAATCTACATGGGTAAAAGAAATATCCTTTACCTGAATTGTCTTATGTGTAAGGGAAGAAAACATGTTGGTTCTTTTGAGAAGAGATTGTGGAAACTCTCATTCATTCATTCATCCATCAGTCATTTCATTTTATTTTTTTGGCAGCTGGCCAGTACAGGGATCAAACTCTGGACCTTGTTATCAGCACCATGCTCTAACCAATTGAGCTATCCAGCCGGCCCCCTACTTTATTTTATTTGTTAGTAATTTTTAAGGCATAGTTCACATACACTTAAATGCACATATACAGCATGTATTTTAAGGATATTCACTTCAGCGATTTCGATAAATGCATATACCCATATAATTTTATACCCTAATCAAGGTAAAGAGCTTGTGCTGGAAAACTTCCTGGGGCCTTTTTCTAGTCACCACTTTCCTCCCCTGCAACCACTTTCCTGACTTCTTTCACCACAGCTTAGCATTACCTGTTCTTAAATGTCACATAAACAGAATCATATAGTATACAGTTTCTTCTGTCTGACTTCTTTTGTTTAACATTATGCATTTGAGAGTCATCCATAATGTGCGTATCAGTAATTCATTCCTTTTTATTGCAGAGTGTCATTTATTTATATTGTCTCCAATTTGGTAATCATTTAGGTTGTTTCCAATTTGGGGCCTGACATTTTCTTAGTGAGATTTTTAATTACTAATTCAATTTTATAACAGATATTTTGTGTCCATTGTGATAAACTGTATTTTTTAAGGAATGTTTTGAAGTCACTTAATCCCAGTTGTTGAATTTATTGACATAAAGCTTTACATAGTATTTTCTTATTTTCCTTTTAATGTTTATGGGATATCTCACATTGATCTCTTTCATTGCCAATATGTTAATTTATTATTCTTTGTCTTTTTTTAATCAGTGTTGCTAGGGCTTTGCGAAAGAACCCACTTTTTACTTTACTTTTCTTTGTTTGACTATTTTCTATTTCATTGGTTTTGCTTATTTCCTTCCTTTTTAGTTTGGTTGTAATTTGTGTTTTTTAGTTTTTAAAGGTGGACACTCAGATCATTGATTTTAAATTTTCCTTATTTTCTAAAATTAGCAATTAAAGCTATACATTTCTCTGTAATCACTGCCTTTAGTTGTAGCCCACAAATTTTGGTTTGTTGTGTTTTTACTATTATTCAGTTCAAAATATTTTCTAATTTCTCTTGTGATTTCTTTTTTGATCCTTGACTCTTACAGTATGCTTCTATCTATCCCTCTCCCATTTTTTGTGCTGTTGTTTTCATATATTTCACTTGTACTTAGATTATAGAGCCTACAATGTATTATTTTTTTTAATAGTCGATTGTCTTCTATATAAATTAAGAAATGATAAAAAAATATATCTTTGACATTTGTATTCATATTTACTCTTTCCAGTTTTCTTTGTTCGATTTTATCTGGAATTACTTCCCTTAACTTTTTTTTTTAAGTTGGTGATGAATTCTCTGAGTTTCTGTTCAACTGAAAATATCATTTCACCTTCATTTTTGAAGGACATTTCCACTGGATGTAGAATTCTTCATTGACAAGCGCTTCCCCTCTCCAGTACTTCAGTGACATTGCTCCAGTGCCTTCTGTTGTGCTTCCACTGGTTTTGATGAAAGACTAGCCGTCATGTTTGTTGTGCCCTGTATGTTACATGTCCTTTTTGTTTTCCTCTGGCTGCTTCTAATATTCTTTCTCTTTGGTTTTCAGCACTTTGACTATGATGTCCCTCGATGTGGTTTTTTAATATGTTTATCTTGGTCACATTTTGTTCAACTTTTTGCATCTGTGGGTTGATATTTTTCAAAAACTTGGGAAAATTTCGGTCATTATTTCTTCAAATATTTTTTCTGTCCCAGTCTCATCGTTTTCTGGAACTTCAGTCATATGATTGTTAAGTCTACTTGTTGTCCTCCAGGTGACCAGGCTCTGTTCATTTCTCTTTATTTTTTAGGTTTTTTAAACCTTTTTTTCTCCCATTGCTTCAGTTTGGATCATTACTATTGACTTCAGCGTTCAGGTTCACTGACATTTTTCTTCTCTCATCCCCAAATTTGCTGTCAGGCAGAGATTTAGTGAACTTTTTTTTTCCAGATATTTTATTTTTCAGCTGTAGATTTTTCATTTGGTTTTTTCATTGTTTTGATTTCTCTAATATTCCTCATCTGACATCCATTTTTTCTTTTAAAATTGTGAATTTTTTAATTGAGTTTTAATGTCCTTGTCTACTAATTCCAATGTCTGGGTCATCTCTGGGTTTGTTTTTGTTGATGATTTTAACTGTGACTCTAGGTCATATTTTCCTTCTTCACTTAACTAATAAGGATTTATTGTCTGCTGATATACAACATTGTAGAGAGTTTAGTTTCTTGTCTTTTCAAGAATGTTGCATTTTGTTCTGATGGGTAATTTACTGGGTCACCTTGATCTTGTTAAGGCTTGGTTTTGATATTTGTTAAGGTGGGTGCAAAATAGTCCTTGCTATACAGAATATAGTCTTTACTCATGAGGTCTGCTGTTTCTAGGTCCTACTTAAATGCCTGGGATGTTGAACAAGGTCCACTTCTAGTTCTGTACTACTTCCAGAGTCTTGGCTAACCAGTAGCTGTTCTCTACTAGGCCTCAAGGAATCTTGACTTACGCATCCACAGCCCAGTATTTGGCCAAAGGTCCAAACAGAACCTGCACAGATTTCTGGATCTTCTTCTATCCGCACCTGCTTCCTCTTTAGCACTTTTCCTGTAAATTCCAGTTGCTTCAGTAGCCCTGAACTACGGGCTCTGTTTTCTCCACCCAGCACGAACAGGTCCTCCACTTCTCTTTGTTACAGTTTGGAAAATGCCTGTAAGAGAAAGCTAGGAGAATGTAGCATTTACCTGGTGTGTTTCTGTTTATTCAAGGATCATAACTTATGCTCTCTGTTGTCCAGTGACTGAAAACAGCTGCTTCAGCATATTTTGTCGAGCTATATAGCTGTTCGCAGCAGGAGTGGGTGCATGAGGTTGAAAACCTGTTACTCTTATTACCACAACTGGAAGTCTAGCCTCCTTTTAAAAATACATTTCCATTTTAACTGAATTGCCAAACTAGTAACCTTTTATTAGTCATATAATTAACATAATTTAGGATATTCCTCAGTTTAGTCTTTCCTTAACCTTTCATTTAACGCCTACGTTAATGCAAACCAAGCTCGAGTTAGCCCCTCAACATCCTACACTCCCAGTCGTCACAAGAGGAGTTATGAAGATGACGAAGACATGGACCTACAGCCCAATAAACAGAAAGACCAACATGCTGGTGCCAGACAAGCAGGTAGTGTGTGCCAACAGGCTTCCTGTAGACCTCTGCTCTTTTGCAGTAGATGTGTTTTCAGAATTCATTGTACAATGTAGCTCTAGATTTAGGAGCTGACGATGTGGCAACCTTACTTTCAAGTTTATCAGAACTGTAGACAATTTTAAGAGTTTTTGCAGTACTCTTTGGTCAGACTATGCTTCATAACTGAGCAGTCAGGCAACACTTAGAAGTGGCTGTCTGATGTACATTTTTAGAGTATCAGGTGATTAGTTGGATAAGGTCTTTTCTGTCTTCTTATTTATTTTAATATCAATTCTTAAGTAATATGAAAACATAATTCTTTACCTTGAGAATTACTTACAATATGTCAGAAAACATCCTTTCTCATTTTCTTTTTGTAATAATAGTACTTTAGTTTTGTAGGACTAAAAATATCGAAGGAAAAACATGCAGTCATGGTATACTAGATGAATTTGTAGTGGTTTATTTGTTAAAACATGCTTAAAATACAACTAGTTTTGAAAAAGCTGAAATTTTCTAATAGCAAGAGAGAATTTCAGAATCTCCATATACCATTATTGATTTCAATCACACCTTTTATGAGCAATGAATTTCTTCATTATCGCAGGTAGATAAGTTTATTTCTCCTTTTATGTGCTAGTCATTTACCTTTAGCACCTTTAATCAGAGGGAAAGTTAAAGGAAGAGGAGGTAAAACAAATCAGTCTGGTCAATTACTATCTGCAAGATTGGGTTGAGAAGGCAAATTTAACAATCAGTTGTGAACGAAGATTTACGAATGAATTTTGCTTAACTTCATTATTCTACTTTATAAATTCATATTACTGAATTTCCTTAATACTAAGGCATATTTATATCAAACTTGAAAGGCACTTTCCAAATGTTCTTTTTCTTCAGGAGGCTTTAGAAATCACTAAATGCAATGCTATCCTTTGAATTTAGGGAGTATTGGTGGTCTTCAGTGGTGTGGAGAGCCAAAACGTTTAGAAACTGAAGCATCTACTGGGCAACAACTGAACTCCCTTAACCTCTCTTCTCCTTTTGATCTGAATTTTCCACTGCCGGGAGAGAAGGGCCCTGCATGCCTTGTGAAGGTAATAAAACCTTTCATAGACCTAACATTGACATGTATGTGTCTCAGAAATTAAAATGGAAAACTCTTTAACATTTGTATTCATTTTCTTTTGCTGCTGTAACAAGCTACTGCAAGGTTACTGGCCTAACGCAACAAAAATTTATTTTCTTATAGGCTTTAGGTCACAAGTCCAACATGGGTCTCACTGGGGTAAAATCAAGGTATCAGCAAGGCTGCATTTCTTCCTGGAGGCTCTAGGGGAGAATCTGTTTTGTTGTTTTGTTTTTTAGTTTTGCTTTCCCCAACTTCTAGAGGCACCTGCATTCCTTGGCTTGTGGCCCCTTCCTCTGTCTTCATAGCCAACAATATTGCATCCATCTGACCATTTTTTCATAGTTACGTCTTCATCTGAGCATAGCCAGGAAAGGTTCCCCAATTTTAACGACCTGTGTGATTATGCTGGGCCCACCCAGATGGTCCAGGACAATCTCCCATCTCAAGGCCCTGAGTTTAATCATATCTGCAAGTCCCTTTTGGTGGCTGACTGTTAAGGGGATCCAAACCCTTGACTGTGGTGTTACCAGCACCCACCACTAACCAAATGAACTGGCATCCTTTGCAAGTCCCTTTTGCATGTAAAGTAACATTTTCACAGGTTCCAGGAATTAGATTGTGGACATCTTTGGGAGCTCCTTATTCTGGCTGCAACAGCATTCTTAAAGGATCGAAGAATATTTCAAACACAGAATTGAAACAACTTTTTAATTTATGTCTACTTCCTTCCTATATCTTTTTTTTTTTTTTTTTTTTTTTTTTTTTTTTTTTTTTTTTTTTTTTTTTTTTTTTTTT